ACTTTCTAAATTTTTCTAGCTGGGCTAACAATCAAGTTAACAGAAACAGATTAACAGGAAAAAAAATCAAATTTTACTACATGCATATCGGAAATTCACGCAGGCATAAAAATTCCCAAACAAGCGAGGCAATAGTGGGTATATATGACATTTTTGGATAAAGGAGAAAAGGGGAAAAATGGGGCTTTAGAATTCAGAAGTGAGAATCTGTGATTTACAGGTAGTTGATAAAGAGCAGAACATGCATGGCAAGCAAATTTTGTAGGTAACTCAGAAATGATGGGACACAGTTGATATTTAGCTAACAGGCCACTCACTAAAAAGCTCTTCTATTTGCTATACTTAATTCAAATTAGGCTAAGACTAACATCCTAAGATTTCCTTCCCAAGGAAGATTTTTCTATCTGAATCTCTTGGACAGAGAAGGAGGGAGGACCAAAGATTCTTTCTGAGTCATTTGTTTCTTAATAAAAAGCTTAAAAATCAATATCTCAAAAGGTAGCTTTAGAGTGGCAAAACTTTAATATCCTTAAATAGCTTCTTTACCATTATCTACAATTACCCAAATTTTACTGCCCCCCCATACATATATGCATAAATGTTCACACATATTTAAGGACTTTTCTATCTTGCTACTTGCAGCTCAGACTTCTGTACCTGTTCTTTCTGTTGATCTGAATAATCATAAAGATTAAAGATAAACTTCTAAGTCAACTCATATTAATTGATCAGGCATTATGTGTGAAGCACTATGCTAGAATCATTATATGTGTTAGTTAATCTTTACAATAATATTACATGTATGCGTTTTTATTATAAAATTAAATGCATAGATGCAGTTTCCAGGAAACTGAATCACTTTCTCAGGTCACCCATTTAGTAGGTATATAACAAGGTAATATAACTGGAATTTATTTCCATAGGAGGTTTGTTATATGTTATGCCTTATTTAATAAGTATGCATGACATGTGTAAAATGGCATATAGAATTTATTTAATCCATAGATATACTGTATTACATAAATTCTAAACTCTCATGAAGCAAAGGATACTTAGATTATGTCTAAGAAAGATCAATTTTTTTCATCTGGAAGTAAATTTGCTACTCCCAGATATAATTATTTAGTGTCAGAAATGAATCAGTGAACAATTAAACTGATTAAGATAACTGAAGCAACTAAATCAAGTGTTTCTTCATTTTAAAAAAATAAATGTCATTTGAATTTTTATCTCATGAAAGCAAATGAGATATAAAATATATATTTACAAAAAATAAGCCATCAGGAAGATATTAATAAAAATAAAATAAAATAATTTGTTCTTAATTTTTCATGAGGATAAAATAAAAATAGCAATCGAATTTAAAAAGTTGGTTTTATCACTGTCATATTACCATCCATAGAATCCACATTTTAACCGGCAAACCTCTACAAAGTAGAAAACATGATTTAAATGTAGAACAAAGCAGTTAAACAAAATATTCACATATATTCACATTTTTGTCAGAAATACAAAGATATCTACTGAGCTAAAATTTTAGAAATGACAAACAAGAATCAGAATTAAGTCATAATAGTGAAATCAAAAGAATCTAAGTGAAAAAAAACTAGATACATCTTTCTCTAGCAACCCACTTGAAAACTATTCTCAACTTCTGTAGAGAGGGAAGGCAAGCTTTTACCTAGAAAAAGATGAATGAATAATGCAGTTCAATGTTTAAAAAGACTGAGTTTAATATCTTTAAAAATTGACAAACTAACTCAAGATCTCACAGATATACCTATTTTTTTCCTCAAAGATACAAGCATATATTTTATTTCTTTTAATTGTATTAATTTTCAGAATTCCTTCATAAAACATTATATTTTAAAATATATTTAATTCCTTTACTACATATATATGCAATAACTAGCATCTATAATAATAGATTACATTAACATCACTAAGACCAGCAAATTATATAGTCAACACAGTAGAATACATTTTTAGAATAAATAAGCATAGAGGACCCTGAAGATGGCAGCCTTTCACCATTTTAATGTTCCAAATTTTGACTAGTTAGATTTTAGACTATATTTTTGTTTTATTTCAAAAATAATATATCTTATAAAAAAAGATTTCTATTTGCTTCATATTATATATCTGTCATTAGTGTGTCAGATGTCTCTTTGTAACTTATATTTTAGACCTATTTAGCCAAAAAAATTCCAGGTTTTTGAAAGAATCAAACTATATCACAAGGATGGTAATAATTTTATTCTAATTTATGCAAGACACTTTAAAAGTTAAATGAAAAGCATTAAAATATTCCAGAGAATCTTCTAAATATCTAATAATATTCAATTTTATTCACACTTTCAATGGGCATATTTATTTAGTGTATAATACCATGTATTTTACATAGAAAAGATCCGAGATTACTCAATCAATAGAAAGAAAGGGGCTAAGATTATAGAAGTCTCTGATCTGATTTTGGATTTGTTTTTACATCAGAGTTTGGAGATGAAGGCCACCAAACTATGAAGTTATACACTAAGAATCCAGCACCACAAAGTCACTTATATTCAATAAAACATTTCAATTTTAAGCGGGCTTTTATTATTCAATTTTGTGTATGAAATACTTTATATATTAAAATAAAATGTAACCATCAGTTATTTGCTCAATTGTCAATTTGAAATAAAAATTATTCATTTATTTATTTAGTTTATTATATTGAAATCACCTTACAAATTTTTATTATAAGATTTGACTATTATGATGCTAACAACTGATCTCATCTAATTTTATAAAACTTTTATTTCTCAAAATGAAAACTTTGATAATAAGCATTTATTCATTCCATTTAGGAACCAGCTAAGAAAAAGAAAGTAGTTATTGAACAATAAAGTAATAATTAGAATTATCTATAGATTTGATAAAGGATCACTGATTCTTCTTATTTGTGCTATATTCTAATTAACTGGGCTGAGGAAAAGGAAGGGGGACATTAGCTCAACTATGATTTAAACTTGTAAATATCAAACTTTTCAAAGACTTTTCTACAGTTTATGTTAGCTAATGAATGGTTTTTTAGAGAAAATTTTCACTGTTTCTATGTCTTGTGAAGAGGCACCGACAGCTTTTGTTCATAAGTTTTCGCCTATGTTTGTATAGCAAACAATCTTGGAAGCTAGAGATAGTTTCTCCCTCCAAAACAGAGGTTAAATTAGATTTCATTTCTAAGCAAGATAATAAACATAATGTCTCCCTCAAAGGCAAAGGTTGAGCAAGTTTGCAAGCAGCTCTTTTTCAAATTGGGATTTTCCTAAATTCAAAGTTCCTCACTTATGACACACAGCTGTGTGCACAAGTATCTGTGCCAGTTTGCATCACCCCTGTGTGACTCGGAGGGCAAGGAGAAACAATGGAAATATAAGCTCATGCCACCTACTTTGTCATGAGTGATAAAATGCTTTGTCTATGACCCAGAAGTCTCTTGTCTTTTGTCAGCATCTATAAAACTGTGTCAGGCTAACTTCATAGCTTTAAAACAGATTAATATCTCAAACTCTTCACAGTTTTTTACATTTTAAAGAATGCTGAGTGAGTAAAAACCTTAACAAAGTTTTGTTATTTTTAACTAAAGGACACAGGACACCTTCTATTCATTCAATAGATTCACAGCATAAGGTCGTTGAGACTTTAACATAGTTATCTGGAATAAAGTATTTGTATCAATATGTGAGTATGCAGAGCTTAATGTAAGAAACAATGGAAGAAGTTACTTATCTGTTACTACTTCTGAATCTGTGCTTATAGAACATATATATGACTTAACCTTCAAGTGTTTGATAAATTAAATATTAGAAAACTTTATCTTCATCTGCATATTCTGATGACTATACACATACCTTCTTGGTAGTCAGAATAAGAAAAACAACAAAATAACAACAACGAAGCAAAGAAGAGATTTGTATTATTTAACCGAGAAAAACTAGACTACTTATTAATAAAAATAAAATAGTATAGGTAAAATCAGAGGTTCAAGGTCAATGCCAAAGTTTCAGAAAATATGTTAATATTTTTGCATTGTATTAGCATCATTA